GGCCAATCAGGAAGCCGGAGGCGGGTAATGACTCACTCACCGGCCTCCTGATTGGCCGGGAAGCCAGCGCCATGTTCCCTTGTCACCAGTACCTCTCCATATTCCTCTCCCCCCCATGTTCTCCTGTGGCCGCTTGTCACCTCTGCCAGGTCCAGGAAAATACACGAGGTTTCCTGAACTTCCTGGTTCTGGGAGAGGGTACTGAGGGCAGAGGCTCCTTTTGTCATCAATCTGTTGGGAGGAGAGCAGCGGAGGGAGCAAGGACATGGCTTGCCACATGCCTTGTATGTCTATGGTCGGGCACAACCAGGAGCGTGTACACACGGGTATCTCAGCAGCTGGCTAGATGATTGAGACACCCACATATAGTGTATGGAGAGAGAGAACAAGAGTGTACACCTCGTTGTTGACTTACATTGGTCCTTTAGCACCCAAGGAGAATAGGTCAAAGTGCACCCGCTACGTCAACTGTGAACTCCTTCAGTAGCATGGTTTGCAGGTCCTGCCCTTTTTTCCCCTCTTCCTCTGCTGGATTGCCCATGGTCGCTATCTTTTTCTGCCTACCCCTCAGCCCGGCCCTGATCTGTAACTACTATTCTACCAATAGAATCACTTGAACTGATTGCCTGCACACACAGAACATTGTAGCATTTTAATGTGGAAACTATTGAGGCACTTGGCCGTGTCAGTAGGTTGAATCCTGTCCAGCCCCCCTGGGTGATATCACTTGAGCTACCGCAGTGGTCTGGGGCCCGGGATGCCAGTCCCTTCCAAAAGTGGCGCCTCTTCTTGGTGTGACATAATATTCTGGGTACACTTAAGCTGCTGCTACAATGTGTTACCGGAGTCTTGTAGTCATACAGGAATTGCCTTTCCTTTTTAATCAAACACAAACAGCTTTGACCATTTTTTCCCCTCCAGTTAATGTAATACACCGCTGCCATCAAACTGCAGGACAATAAAAAGGGATGGGTCATGTGATTTCTCAGCAATAGCCACTTCTAGCTGGTCATGTGATTTCGTCTCCAAATTCCAATAATGGTGCCCAACTTATTAAAGGTTCATTGTGCAAAGGAAAAGTTTAACAAATCAGCTCATGGGGAGAAAACCTTTTGCTTTTGATCAGTTTTATTTGGTTGTAGTGCGAAAGATGCACTTGGCTGGAGATAAATGAATGCTGATTGGATCACATGACTGGCAATTGATGGACTGTGCTAATTTCACATAAGAATAAAGATGTGTAATATATTTTAACTCGGGTAGCCAAACTCCGGCCCTCCAGCTGTGGTGAAACTACAAATCCCATGATGCATCTCTCTCTGGGAGTCGTGGCTGTGAGAATCTTGCAATGCCTCATGGGATTTGTAGTTCCACCACAACTGGAGGGCCGGAGTTTGGCTACCCCTGTTTTAACAGCTTCACATCTGCCGTACGTATATATGGCGTCAACCTGAAGGAGTTATACTAGATCATGGCTATAATATTTTACAGCCGCCGATGGCTGCTTACAGCTATAGAGCTGGCCAAACGCTTGTATGATACCCCCCCTTGCCACTGCCTGCTATCCTGAGCTCGGCTGTCCCCCAAGCAGGCTTGGGACTGGCACAGCGCTTCTGTCCACTTCGATTGGAGGGACTCTTCCACCAGCTGATCTCCTCCCCTCCAATCATTGAAAGCGATGTGCATTACATCTCTTCCAGTTTCAATGTGTAATGTCTCCGGCTGCTGTAGCCCACCCCCATGCTACATATCACGGTGCATGAGCAAGAACAATAATTCTAGGGCTATCACCCACTGTTAACTCTAAATTGATGAGCGGTAAAAGCTTTTAAATCATTGCCTGTGAGCAATTTTGGGTATTGTACTTTATTGTGATTTCACGGGTGCACGCAGTTTTAAGGTTTGACATGTTTGATATCTATTTACCTGACGTGACCCATTCTTTTCTATTTTACCCAAAAATTGGGTATTCTGTTTGTGTGCACTAAACTTAATTTTAGTGTATTTTATTCTAAAAATACTGGTTTGATAAACATTTGCGCAAATACCGCGGGACATAAAAATTGCAACTAGCATTTTTGTTATTGTACATGGCCTCTGCTTTCAGAAAATATATCATTGTTTCGAGGTTTTAAGCTGTTAAGGATTAAAGGAGAACTATGGGGTCACGGCTTTTCCCCCATAGTTCTCCTTAGGGTAACGGGAGGACACAAACTAGTGTCCTCCCGTCACCCTAAGCTCAGTATACCGCGAGCTACAGCTCACGGTATACTGAGACGCCGGAGCGGATCCTGTCATCGATGTCGAGATCCGTCCAGCTGCGTGAGTGACAGCTGGCTCTGCCTATCTAGAGGCAGAGCCAGCTGTACCCGCCCCCTCCCCCGTCCGTTCCGCCAGTCAGCGCCGGTGGTGCGGGGAGGGGGGAATCCAGCCCCTCCCCTGTCACTGCAGAGAGCTGTGACAGGATCGAGAGGTGAGCGAACGCCGGTATATGTTCGCTCACCCTCCCGATCTACTGAGCCGACAGCCTCATTGTCACAAGTCGGCTAGAACTATGAGGTGAGTGGAAATCACTCATCTCATAGTTCTCCTTTAAACAAAAGTGCACCTCTTCTTTTTGTCCCCCTCCCCTGTCCTTACAGATCCCCCTCCACAGATGTATACTTGCCAAGATCCGGCTGTGCCAAAGTCCTTTTTCTCCTGGCCATGCCTGCAAAGTAGATATTCGTGTAAGTCTGTGGGGCAAGTCTGCCGGCTTTGAGATGCAGGGAGACAAGTCCCATAGAAGTCTATGCGGCTCTATCTCGCAGACACAGCCAGGAGAGAGATGACTTCAACGCAGGATGTAAACAAATACAGGAGGCTCTGGGTGCAGGATCCTGGGAAGAATGCATCTGTGGAGGGGGGAGCGTGGCATCTTTTAGGTGAAGGGGACAAGACAAATACCGTATTTTTCTGTGTGTAAGACGCTACTTTTTCATAAATGTTTACCTAAAAATAGAGGGGCGTCTTATACACGGCGGCCGAGAACCGTGGTTGCGAAAGTGCCGATACCACTGCAAACTAGCCTCACGAGTGAAACTTCAGATTGCAGAGACGAGATAAGTTTTCCTCCAATCATAAATCTTTTGTACCTGACGTCAGCTGGTGCTGGGGAGAGTGGAGGAAAACTGTTATCTTGTCTCTGTAATCCGCTCTCCCCAGCAACAGCTGACGTCGGGTACAAAAGATTTATGATTGGAGGAAAACTGTTATCCTGTCTCTGTAATCCGATCATAAGTCTTTTGTACCGGACGTCAGCTGTTGCTGGGGAGAGCGTGTAGCCAGTGGCCAGAGCTGTAATGTCTGAGCATAACGTGATTGACTCAGAGGTAAGTGTGATGCATTATATCATTTTAAAATATTGATTTCTGAGTTTTGGGTAAGAAAAGTTGGGGGGGTCTTATACATGGGAAGCGTCTTATAGATGGGCAAATACGGTAAGTACACTTTGAAAGTGCAATTATTCTTTTAGGACTGGTTAGCTTTCCAGTTTTCATGAATTCTGGTGCCCTGTTCATCCGCATCCTGCCATGATGTTTACCTCCAACAGACTGGTCCTCTTCTACCCTCTTCTGTGAGTTTTCTACTGAGCATGTGCAGGCAGTGTGGAGAAGAGGACCACCAACGACTGTTCCAATGGTAGGGACACTTTCAAAATGTTTCCTTTCCCTTTTGGCTGGATTCATGCATATGAATTCATGAACAATATTTTACACATTGTGTGCTGCCAAAAAAAAGGCGCATGCACTACTTCTTGGAGCACAGTGTTTACAACACTTGGTAGTGTGTTACTGGGTGTTGCGGTGTGCTGCAACGCCCTTGTGTTGGGTCACGTGACTGCAGTTCAATGGTGTTTTACTATTTGGTAGATGCTGGAAAGTAAAAACACCTGATGGTTTCTCTTGTGAAGCCTATTTATGAAATCTTTGTGCTGAGTTCCTAGCACTGCACATCTGCCGTGGCCATTATAAGGCACTTCCATTGTTATTAGATGTGTGTGTCTTTTATATATTATGGAGAATGTAACAGGAGGAGGAGGGAACATCTAAAGCAGTGGTTCTCAACCTGTGTAACCTCAGGACCCACATTTTGTCCTTGGTCATTAAGTCGTGACCCAAGTTGCTCTGCACTGGAACGCACAGCATTGCGGTACCGTGCGTTTTGGTGCAGTCGATCGTACTGTGGGTGGGCGGTGTGTTTGTGGGTCACAGCTCCCTTGCGTGTCCTGTAGAGGTACCGGGAGCGTTTTGTAGAGCGTTCGTAGAGCATTGAACGCGCTACAAAACGTACAGGTGTGAACCAGGCCTTAGTCTTTCTGTTGCTTTTGATGGTGTTCCTCCTGCCTTCCCTAGCTGATAATCTCTTCCTGATGCTCTTGCTGTTTTTCATACTGTGTTCCCTGGGTCTTGATAGTTGCATAGTAAGTTAGGTTGAAAAAATCGTACTGTGGGTGGGCGGTGTGTTTGGTGGTGCCATTCAAGTGAATGGCAATGCAACATACCTCCCAAACCAGGATGCGCAATTGCATAGTAAGGTGTGTTATTCACTGGAGTGGATCCTCAGCCTGGGGTCCAGTGTGGGCTGCTGGGCTGTGATGGAGCTCCATCCATATGTGCATTGCTTGTACAGCTCCCTTGCGTGCCCTGTAGAGGTGCTGGGAGCCAAAATGTGACTTCACTCCAGTCCAGGCACCTCTACAGGGCACCCAAGGGAGCTGTAAGCAATGCACGTATAGATGGAGCGCCCCTGCGGCAATAACCCCACCCCACCTCAATCTGACACTCGGCACCGGGCAGCATATTTTGAATGGCTGCTTGGTGTGAGACAGTGCTGCGCTAGGGGGAGGTCGAGGAGCCTCTCACCTACTGCAGTGGAAGACATGCGGTGACCCACTGAATACGGGGTCGCGACCCACTTTTGGGTCACGACCCACTAGTTGAGAACCAAGGATTTAAAGTATCCAGGTGGGCAGGAACAGAATCTGAAATTTAATTTTATACCACTGGCATGAGTTTTCTGATGACCTGATCTGTTTATTTCTTTTCTCAGGTGTTTCAGGCCTCGTTGCAACTACTGAAAATGATTATCACTCAATACATTCCTAAACATAAGCTGGGCAGAGGTGAAACGATGCACTGTGTTGAGAAGACTCTCTCAGACCTGCTCTCCAGGACAGGCGACTCGGCCACACGACACAGGGTGATCGCCTCCAACTTTATTCAGGTATTCACACTTCTGGCCTCTGCAGCTGAGTGACTATGGGATCTCTGGTGTGTTCCAAGTTATTGGTAAAAAAAAATCTACCTTTTTAGCATAACATTCGCTCACAGGAGCTCATCAGAAATTTTACATCGGAGACCTATCTCATGACCTCATGACCACTGAATTACATTAATGGTTTAACTGCCCCAACACACCAATTTGGAAACCCGTGCAGACTTTATAACCTTTATGCAGTTCTGGGTTGAAATCCTACCAAAGATACTTGATGGTGTGATTGGTAGAATTTGAACGCAGAGTAGCAAGGCAAGAACTCTGCTTTCAAGACTCTGTAGTTTGACTGGGCAGGTGATCATTCACAACCTGCTTCATTGTTTCCTTCTTTTAAGTCTTGTGTTGTTTTCTGCTAGTGTTCCTCCTGCCCTTTCCTAGATCGAGTTGTCCTCCTCCTTGCTCTTGCTGATTTTTCTACTGTGTTTCCTGGGCCTGGCTGTTGTCCTGGTGCTCTTGCTTGTAGTCCTGCTGTCCTCCTGTTCCTCTTTCTTGTAGTCCTTCTGTTGTCTTTGGGTCTTGATGTCCTCCTTTTAGTAGTTCTCCTCCTGTCTTTCCCGAGTCCTGCTGTCCTTCTGTTACTCTTGATGGTCTTCCCTAACCTCTAATCTCTTCCTGTTGCTCTTGCTGTTATTCCTGCTGTGTTCCCTGGGTCTTCATGTACTCTTGTTGGTCTTGCTAATAGTTCTCCTTTCTTTCCTAAGTCTTTCTGTTGCTTTTGATGGTGTTCCTCCTGCCTTCCATAGCTGATAATCTCTTCCTGATGCTCTTGCTCTTTTCATACTGTGTTCCCTGGGTCTTGATAGTTGCATAGTAAGGTAGGTTTAAAAAAAAGACACAAGTCCATCGAGTTCAACCTGATTTTTGCTCTTGCTGGTAGTTCTACTGTCTTCCCTAGGTTCCTACTGTCTTCTGTTGCTCCGTTTGCTGTTCCATCGTCTTCCCTGGGTACTACTCTCCTAGGATGTTATCAACTCATAAGATTTCTAGCATGATCAACAAGTTTTTTTTTTTTTATGTTTTTTTTTTTGTTGTATTTTCTTTTCTTTCTTCTTTTTTTTTTCTTTTTTGCAGATATGCAAAAAGCTTTAAATTGTATATTTTAACAGACCAAAACACACACTGACTATTGTCCCTTTTGAGTACACTGGCAGATAGGATAGTTTAAAATGCACAAAAGCAAGCTACAATAACACTTAATGGAAACCACAGTGTAAACATCAGTGTTTTAAGATGCAAAAAAAAGAAAACCCCAGGAGCGTTTAGTGCGAACAATAGCAGCCTTGTTCAGGAATGATCTCAGCCGGTTGCCCAAGCCTAGCGGGCCCTGTGATATTACAGCACAGCTCCGCTATGGAACAGTAACACTTTGTGTGCGCGTAGGAACTGCCTGCCTTTAGGGACCGCTGCCGTTATTTACTGCTGCGCTCTCCCAGCCTGGAAAAAAAAACACACTCGTTTCCTCTCGGCTCAGACGTGTCTAGAGTTAACCTCCTCCTTTATAAAAACCTCAACTCCCTCGCCCGTCTCCCGGTGGCGCACCATTATTTCATGGGCGCATTTTGGCTTCGGCACAAGAGATTCGTAATCGCACGCTTAAAAGAAAGCGCCGAAAAGTCATTACACACGCACTTTTGTGCTGGGCAGACGTGACACACTGAGCCCAATAAGCGCAAAAAAATAGACGTGAAGGATTAAAGTGAGGTGGTTAAAATGTATGGGGAAGCCAACAACCTTTAATTGATTTATTGTAGATTTAGAGTAAGCTGTTTTAAAGGTCGGGTTTTGTAAATTTTTTATTTTCCCTTTTTTTTAGTTATTTATATTAGGGATGCACCGATATATTGGCCGAAAATGGCACTTTTGGGTAAATGCCGAAAGTGCAATTTTTCTGCTGATACATCGGTGCATCCCAGGTTTCTTTCCTCCCCGCTGGGCACTGCTCTGTGTCCCAGCGGGGAGGAGAGAAAGTGACAGCCGGCCGAGCGCTGCGGGAGGAGAGCGCTGTGAGTGGCCGGTGTCTCTCCTCCCACACCGCTAAGCTGCCTATCGCGATCCGGCAGAGCGGTGGGGGGGTGGAGACAGGCCGCGCTGTCACAGGAGGCTGAGCTCTCCTCCTGCACCGCTCGCTCACCCTCCTGTGACAGCGTGTCAAAGAGGTGAGTGAGTGCAAACACTCAGTGATCGATGAGTGTATGTAGATACCGTGTTTCCCCGAAAATAAGACACTGTCTTATATTTTTTTTGGCTCAAAAAAACACACTAGGTCTTATTTTCGGGGTACGTCTTATTTTTATTTGTTTTTAATGTATAACAATCCAAAGTTAATGCAAATCCAAATTAAATAATCCAAAATGGCAAAGTTAAGAATAGGGTGATCAGGGCAATCAGGGGTGCCATACCTTTCCAAGAGCAATTTGGTAACCTGAAAAAGCGAAGCGCACTTTCACTATCGATTCCTCACAGGCGGAGTGCATTTGGTATCACTCCTTCTGTCACAGGAGTCGTCGCTATAGAGGAAACATCAGCTTATGCGGCTCTGCTCCATGTCCTGCCGCCTCGCTTCCTCTAGTGCTGGCTTCGTTGGCACCGCTGATTCTCTCCCGTGGCTCTTCAGGTTCCCCCTTATGCCACCACCAGCCCTGGCAATGGTCACAACTAGGTCTTATATTCGGGGTAGGTCTTATATTTTAGCAATTCCCAAAAATAGTACTAGGTCTTATTTTTGGGGTAGGTCTTATTTTCAGGGAAACAGGGTAATTGAGGACACGGCATGTTTACTATATCCTCAATTATGAATGAATGGGAAGTGATCTACATCACCTTCTCTTCATTCATGATTGTGGCTATAGTAGACATACTATGTTCTCATGTTATCAATGAACAGGAACACTCAGTATAGAGGAATCCTGTTTATTTATAACAGGGGCTGCAGAAAAAGAGATCGAGGACTTTGTGTTCTCAATCTCCTTTTCTATTTTAAAAGGGAAATATCAGGGGTCTGTTTAGACCCCTAATATTTCCCCGAAGCCCCTAAAGGTAAAGTAAAAAATATTTTAATAAACATGAATTAAATAAATATAAAAACATGTAAAGTTTATAAAAAAATAAATACAAATTAAAATATTGAAAAAATTTAAATCAAAAACATTTTCGGTTTCGGCCTGACAATTTTTTTTATTTCGGTTTTTAAAATTCTATTTCGATGCACCTCTAATTTCAATGTTAAATGATGCCTATTGATATTTCATATTTTTCACTCCTTTTCGGGTGCAATTATGTTATCAGTTGCAGCCTGTTATTTACAAAGATCAATAACTCAAGCTGCAATGTACTCTCGGAGTTAGATGATTCATCACAATGCATCATCTCATATTGGCGGCTTTGTCTTTTGGTTTCAGTCTGAAAAATCAACCCTTAAAGGAGAATTATGGGGAGAGTGTAATACACTCATCCCCATAATTAGTGGCGATGTATGACACTTGCAGCTGTCACACGTCGGCTCTATAGATCGAAAACTGAGCGATCATAAACTGCTGATCACTCAGTTCCCGATCTCCCTGCAGAGAGCGGTGACTGTGAGTCACCTCTCCCCACAGGGATTCCCCCCTCCCCTGTCAGTTCACCAGCACTCACTGACGGACGGGGGAGAAGCAGAGCCAGATGCCAAATCAGGTGGCGGGGTGGATTCCGACAATATTGTCAGAATCTTTCCTGGCCACAGCACGGCTCTGTGCTGTCCGTATATAGCGGGCAATAGCCCACTATATGCTGAGTTTTGGGTCACAGGAGAACATAGTAAATGCCCTCCTGTGACCCGAAATAGGTTGGGCCATAGGTCTCTTTTAAAGCACACCGCTACTGCTATACTTTCGCTTTAACTAACTCATGGTGCTCGGGGAATCCTTTGTCATGTATTAAATGCTTATTTTTGAAACAAAGATTGTATTCTATAGTTAATATCAATATAAAACAACATTGTGAAAACATATAAACGTTACACCCAACTGAAGGCTTCTCTCGTTGCCCTTGTTTTATTTATTAGCATCTATATCTTTTTTTTGTTATCTATCGCCTGTGACCTGTTCACTTGACGTCATGGGTCTGGCAGAGGGTAGGTCCCGAAGGCAACAGAGAACAGCGACTCATATTGAACTATGAGTTCTGCTATGTCCCGTAGCATTCTCCTGTGAGTTTGTAAAACTCTCTTCAAGTAGGTTGAGTAGTGCTCAGAGTTACTCAACTCTGGAAGAGTACCGGTACTAGACAACTGAAGCTTTGAGCCTGCTGGCAACAGTGCATGGGATTTTGTTTGTCCCCTTTAGCTCTCCTGCAGGGCAACATGTTGTTGTTATTTATTTTTTTAAACTAAGATAAAATGGATCCAAAACCATTACAATTTCTCTTTAAAAAGGAGTTGTGTGGTTATTTTTATATAGTATAATGTGGGCGCCTGTGTTTTGCAGGAAGCTTTACAAATGTTGACTCTTGTAAAGTTAAGCTTAGACCTACCTCCTGTCACTCATTTACCAGCTGGTAGGCACAGTAGGTGGGGACAGGCCTGGATTGCTACTGCTCTGAGAGCTAAAGATCTGCATGTATATTCATCTACCTCTGTCTCTGGATCTACTGGTCGTTTTCAACATAAGATGACGTCTGCTTGTGTTTTTTTTTTTTTTTTTTTTTTTTTTTTTTCATGCTCATTATAAATTTTATAAGTTTTTGGCAGCCTTATATCACTGGGGCTCTTTGTCACCAAAAGTTTATTGCCCACACCATCCAGTCAGATTCCATTAGTGACTTTTTTGCTGCTTGTTGGAAGATGATGTTTGATTTGGGTATGTTTTTGTACTAAACAGATCACATACATGTTTATTGATTGTGCTAATGATTTCTCTTCCAGGAGATGGCAATCTTTAAAGAAGTGAAACCTCTACAATTTATCCCAGTTCATTTGGTTCAGCCACTGAAAGGATCGTTGCCATCAAGACTGGCCCTGAGTCAAGTGGAGCTTGTGGAGAACCTGCTGAAAGAGCTGGGTGTGGACAATTCCGGCTTTACAGTTGACAATGTCATGAAGGTGAGCATTTGGTCTTCAGCTTAGGTGGAAGAGTCATGCTGACCAAAGGAGGCTGTTGTGTCACATCTCCTCTACAATAACAGATAAAGATGTCACCAGCACTCCAATCCAGACTTTCACGTTAGTGCAAATCCATTTTATTGACACAAGTCATGAAGACAAGTGCTTTCGGGGCCGCACAGGGTCCCCTTCATCAGGCTCAATAATGACAATGTGTAAAAGAACCACAACCAATATATAGACATACAACCTCCCACCCTTCACAGTGGGAATAGCCCAATACAAAATCCCCCCCAAATGGGTAGAAGGCTAATAAGCATTTGGGCTAGCAAACAGCCTGGTGTATGCTAGCCCAACAGTCGGGGTGTTTCCAGTGCCCGTAGAGAGAGTTGGATTAGTAGGTGCAATGGGCAACATGATTATAGGCTGCAGTTGTTAGCACCATCAGTAGATGTGATGGAGGCTCTGGACCAGAAAAGTGTCTGCGGCTTACTTGTTACCAGGATGGAATCTGCAAGGTCCTCCACACAGAACTCGGTCCCCCGAAGGTAACTACCTGGCTATCCCCTCAATATCCAGTCCAGCGGGTTCAGAGCGTGGCACTGCAAAAGCCAGGCAATCAAAGAGACTAGCTCGTGCAGCAGTGTAGAGAAAAGTCCAGATTTGAGGAAAACATTTTGAAGAATAAGACAAACCGGTGCTAGTAAAAATATATGCAAGTCTTTTACACAGTAGTGCTGAAGAACGGACATCCATCCTCCTAGGACACGTGCAAGAAAAAAAATCGGGCATGCTCCTATAGGCAACAATATAACCCGAAGGTGTAACACTGCCTGTGTCCCTTAATGGACAAAAAAAATAAGCTAATCCATCAGTGACCTTTATAGCTACAGGCACTGTGGAGCAATCAATTCTAAATTCACATAAAAAGCACTGAAGTCATTCAAGTCATCCTCCACAGCAGCTTGGCTCATCCTGACACCTGCCTTTCTATGATGGGATAGTTCTTCTTGTGACTGAGTCTAGGAAGCATGGGCACCCTGCAAACAGCAAGATTTATCATAGAACAGGTTGTTGTTTTTAGAACCTGTATTGGGGTTAAGTCCTGTGACTATTAAAGATGCAAATAGGGCTTCTTATATCTATACATTGTAGATGATAAAACTCCTCCTGTTTTAGCAGTGTTCCCGACGGTGTTAATAATATCATATTTATTATAATTGTAATGAAGATAAAGATGGATCCATTTTAAGCGGTGACTTATATATTATTGTGTGTTAGTTTGCATTAGGTGCGCTGGATTATACAACAGCGGAGGTGCGCGACAAAGCTGTGCGTATTATACTTTACCTGTACCAACAAAAACGCTCTCAGGTTCTGGAACACATGCCGCCTGATGATGCCAGCACTCGCAAAAACATCCTGTACAAGACGCTGTTTGATGGATTTGCCAAAATAGATGGCCGCCCTACCGACGCAGGGCAAAAGGTGAGAAAAGAAAGCAGTCATTGATGGACTTGTGTGTACTTTCCTACCTGTGACCATCTGGCAGTCTCTGGGTGGTATCTTCCAAATGAGGTCTACACTGGGCAAAGGAAGTTATTATCTGGATTTATAGATGTGTAGGCCATTTTATATTTCATCGATTTACCACATACAAGTCTCTGGTGTCTAATACTTGCAGAGTCCAGGAAGAGGCGCATTAACATCTCTGAATTAATTCTGAACTCCAGGTAGATGTAAAAGAAAAAAATCTCAATGTGGGGCTGCAACCAAATAATCGATATTAATGGATTATGAGAATAGTTGTCAACTAATTAACGATTAGTTGGTTGAATCTCCTATCTCTCTCCTCCACGCTTGTATGGCGGCACAGCAAGCAGTGGGTGAGTGCAATAGCCAGCCTGCTATTGCAATTTGAAATGGCCAATAGCAGGCTGGCTATTGCACCAGCCCACTACCTTCTGTATTTACATTCAGCTGGCATTCCCTGGCTGAAGCCATTCAAGCGCCATGTGCTTACAATACAATTATTTAAAAGAAAAGTCATTTTCAGTTTCCTGCCTGACAAATTCTGCTGTGGGAGGTGCGTCGGTGCACCGGTCTTGGTGACCACCATCACTGGGACAGGAAGTGATTCCTTGCCAAGAGGGAAACACATTGCAGAATATTAATGTTCCCCAATATACAAAAGACTGCAAAACGTTTGGCCGGAGTTTTGCTTAACTATAATTTTAATTCTTGCAAATATGTAACTTGGCACGCATGCTTTCTAGAACATCTAATACTGTTGGGTGAAAGAGGGTCACGTGAGCCACACCAGAGTGACCCCAAGACTGACCTCTTTTACCTGCCAGGGGATTTGTGTTTCTATCCATTCCTGAGGGTGACACAGCTCTGCTACACAGCACATTGAGGAGGATGACATCTATACTATTAATACTGCTACAGTTGCAAACTATAGAAGGGTTTCAGTGGTGTCATCTCCTTACCCCAACATGCTGACTGGACAGGGAAAAAGCAGCAGCATACTGACAAGGTCATCTCTCTGCTCGGTGTGCCTCTTCAGCACATGTAGGTACAGCACAGCTGATTGGCTGCCAGTCTTGTGCCTCCCTTTCCCAGTCTGAGTGCTACTTTAGTTTTTTCCGTTGCAGGCTGATATCGAGTTCAAATGCAGGTAGTCTACACAAGTCATCGTTAAAAAAAAAAAAAAAAAGATTGCAATGTGTTAGCTTTAGCATTTTGTATTGGTTGAAAACCATGTAGTAAGAGATGTAATTCCTGTTTAATACACCTTGTCGTGGTCAGGCTTCAAAGAGGCCGGCTGTGGAAGAGGCGGAAAGGCAGAAGAAAGAGGAGATCCGAGCTCTCCAGGAACAGCTGGCAGCTCTGAAGGATATTCAGCCTGAGGCTCAGACTGGCAAGGTGCGGACCAGCATTTGCTGTATACTTTGGACTCTGTATCAAGTATCGCGTGTCTCATAGAATCCAGACCTGCAGATCTCCTGGTCTTATTCTTTCCATACACACATCCACAATGAGAAATAACACAGGAGAGCACAGACATAAGGCAGCACACTGAGCCACAAATCCGTCATCAGGCAGGGAAACCACTGTCTGCTTGTAATTCTGCATCACTGTATACATACATGATTAGTGTTACAGCCATAGCACTGAAATACTTTACACGGTACATAGTAGGGATGCAGCGATACAGCTACTAGTATCAGTGCCGTTACCGAGTATTTGGGCGAATACTCGTACTCTCCCAAATGCTCCGATGCCGAGCCCAATACCCAAACTTCCGGGAATCAGAAAGCCGGGCAGCTAGTCATTACATGACGTCTCTTCCTGATTGGCCGGGAAGCCAGCTCCATGCTCCCTCATCACTTGGTGACGAGGGAACATGGAGCCGGCTTCACGGCCCATCTGGAAGCTGGGTAGCATGTAATGACTCGCTGCCCTGCTTCCTGATTGGTGGGGAAGATGGCCAATGAGGAAGCCGTATGGCGAGTCATTACCCGCCCCCTGCTTCCTGATTGGCCAGAAATGGAGTCGGCTTCCCTGCTAATCGGGAAGCCGGGTGGCGAGCCTTTACACGCCGCCTGGCTTCCCAGGTGATCAAGAAGCCAGGTGGCGAGTCATTACATGTGGCCTGGCTTCCTTAATGAGACCTCCGGTATCGTCGAGTACCGGGAAAAAATATCGGTACCCTTACTCCGGTTTCGGTGCATCCCTAGTACATAGGATATCAGTTAAAGTGTATCTAAACAAAAAAAAAGAAATTTTAGAATTAGAATCCCTGTGAAGGTCCTATGGCAGTCTGAGGGTCTGTTGGATAGATACCCTGTTTCCCCGAAAATAATACCTACCCCGAAATTAAGACCTAGTACCATTTTTGGGGAATTGCTAAAATATAAGACCTAGTTGTGACCATTCCCAGGGCCAGTGGTGGCATAAGGGGGAACTTGAAGAGCCGCGGGAGAGAATCAGCAGTGCCAACAAAGGCAGCGCTAGAGGAAGCAAGGAGGCAGCGCAGGGAGCAGAGCCGCAGAACCCAATATTTCCTCTATAGCGCCGGCTCCTGTCACAGGTGGAGTGGCACCCCTGATTGCCCTGATCACCCTATTCTTAACTTTGCCATTTTTGATTATTTAATTTGGATTTGCATTATCTTCTCTTTCATATCTTTTAGAGTGCAGGGGGCGGTTCGGATCCTGCGGACCTAAATCCGCACGGCCGTACCATGCCGGTGTGAACGGGGCAAAAAGCAGAAACCAACACTTAAAAGACCACACTGGCATCTGCCTAGTGCCCCACAATTCCAAGGAGCAGCATTGTGCTGGGTGTGGGCCCCCTAACTCTTAACAAATGACAATTAGTTACAGAGATCCAGATATTGCTAATGATTCAGTGTGTAGCTAGATTTTTATTTATTTATTTGTTTGTTTTAGGGAAAAGAGCAAGCCAGCAAATCGAAGCTAGGTAAGTAAAAAAATTATTGTCCACGTAGATTCTTCCGAAAACTATTAATCTTGTGTAAAAGAATAAACGTTAGGCAGGATATACATTGGAGCGGTGAATTAACGAACACAACGTAACAAGCCCGTTCATTTTAAAATTTTGCTCAGAGATGGGCTTATGGTAATTTTGACATCTTCCCATTTCAAAAATAATCAGCTTTTCCATTACACTGGAGTTCTTCAACTGTGTAAAAGTTTGGTTGCCTCCGGTGCTGTAGCTGTTATTGTAAGGCTTTGTTCCATTACCAGTTAGCCTGACCTAGTCCGGCTTTCACACATGACCTCATCGTTCTCCCACCTGTGCCTTAACAAACCCATTGTACCGTCTTGTAGAGAACATGTATGGATTCCAGCAAGCTGGGCAAGACGTCATGGGCAGAGAGAGAGGGGTCATGAGTTGTCAATGCTGCCATCTGATTGGATGCTCTGGTGGCCTTCACATTATGCAGAGGGACACGTTGACTGCAGCCGATAATTCCACTTTGCATTTTCAGAAACTGGTTTATGCGAAAAGAGATGATAGTAATGTACATGTATGGCTGTGTGTATGTTTTATAAGGTAATCGGAGCATAGGATGTTTATCGGCCCATGTTGTGCCCATTAAGAGAACATACGATATTTAATGGGACAATATGTGCCCAATGCAATAATAGGCTGAAATCCATTGTTTCCAATAGGCTCAGTCCACAGAAACACACTGAGGGGAATTTATCAACACTGGAGCAGATTTCCACTTTCCACTGCAACCAATCAGCTTCTCTGTCTCATTTTCAAATCTTACTCGAGCAAACTGAGGAGAGATGCTGATTGGTTGCCATGGGCAACTGCTAAAGATTGTGTCTGCTCCGGTTTTGATCAATTCCTCCCACTGTTTTTTTTGCTCTGGGCGGAAATAGAACAAGCTGCATTTAAACACATTACAACTCATTGCAGTGTGCTACAACGCACATTAACAAAAGAAAAATAATGTATTTTGGCTCCTGCTGTGGACTAAAAAAACTTGCACATCCATGCAATGCATTAAAAATGCAAAACCTTAAACAGGTGTCAACCCATGCTAAATGCAACAGCAGCAGTCCAGTTAAGAGGTAACACTGTAATCAAAATAGAACATTAAAGCCCAATTATACTTTCCTGTGGCCCTGTAAGTGCAGAAGAGAGCGCTGTAGCCTTGTAGACTCGGCAGCAGATCCCTCGGTATTTGTTCTGTATAAGATAAATTCTACTCAGAATAAAAACGTCTCAGCCTTTTGTAACTGCAGAGCCATGTAGATCTCTAAATATAACCTATTTATGATTGTGTCTCAGTTTCATAAGCAAGCAGGGCTGGTAATATGCCCTTTTGGTGATTTTCTAAGCCAGACACCCAGATTAATTTGGATCAAGCCTGGTCTGAACGTGAGCACCTCCAAACCCGGAGATTGGTCCGCCCAACCGAGCACCTCGAAACCCGGAAGTGAGATGTGTCCAACCAACCATTTAGCTGAGCACCTCCAAACCAAGACATTAGATGAGTCCACCCAACCAAAAAGCCGAGCACCTCCAAAACCGGAAGTGAGATGGGTTGAGCACCTCCAAATCCGGAAATGAGAGGAGTCCACCCAACCTATCAGCTGCAGGCTAGGGCAGTCCTCACCCCCGTACCTGCACATAAACAAAGTGGCGGGAAGCTTGTGGTGACATCATTGACCTTACGTGGTGGAATGGCCATATTGGCTTGATGTCATTGACCAAATATAGCCATGTAGGGTCAATGACATCACAGCATCGCGCCCCTTTGTTTACGTGCAGCTGCGAGGGGGAATTTCCCAGCCACAGCTGATGGGGCAGAAGGAGCTTCTTTACTGTTTTCAGAGGGGCTCCTGTTCAGATCGGACCTGAGCTCATCCCTAGTTGTCAGAGATGACTACTCTTCAATTCTCTTCCAATAGTTAATTGGAGCCAGGATGACTCTGTACACAGTAGGTTTGCTGAAACTGCACTTGGTTTATGTTACCTGAACAATTTAGATTTAACTGGCAATTAGTAGACATATTCTTTAAAACACACTTTGTCAAAGGAGCTTACAGTTCTTAAGTGTTTATAATCTGAAGCACCTGGGCCATAGAGTGTCTGTCATTGTTTGTAATGATGCCTTTGTATATGGTCATAAACTCCTTTTGTGTATCTTATTATCCTCATAATTTACAGAAGGGGTCCAGTTACCTATATAATATTATTATGATGATTATTCTTCTTCTTCTTCAAAATGCATTATTTGCTGTGGTACAGGTATAATACCCCAGGGTTTTTATTCTGGTTCTACTTTTTATGATGTTTGTGCTTTTGAGTGTTATATCAGAAGACCATTCTGTTTAGTAACCTTTGCTGTTGGTACATTCACATCCTTCTCCCCTTTTCAGATGAGCGTAGTAAGAAAATGTCATTGTCGCCTAGCACAGAAGTTGCTGATGACCATTCAACTGTTTCTAATTACTTAGATAAGTAAGTACAAACATATGACATTACATGGCACTCCCCATGTATCATATAACTTTATAGGGAGACATCCCCACTGGGCTCACTCCAAAAATTGTAATATTCATTGTTGGATGGTGATACTTGTGCAGGCTTTCTCAATAAAGATGTTGGCCTAAACCAGCTACTGACAGACTTTGCATCAATTACCTGCCCAGTTTAAAGGAGAACTATGAGGTGAGTGCTTTTCACTCACCTCATAGTTCTAGCCGACCTGTGACAATGAGACTGTCACAGGTCGGCTCAGTAGATCGGGAGGTGAGTGAATATATACCGGCGTTCGCTCACCTCTCGATCCTGTCACGGCTCTCTGCCGTGACAGGAGAGGGGCTGGATTCCCCTCTGATCCGCCTGCGCTGACTGGCGGGACGGACATGGGAGGGGGCGGGTACAGCTGGCTGTGCCTCTAGATTGACAGCTGGCTCTGCCTGTCACGCAGCTGGGCGGATCCCGGCACAATTGTTGGGATCCGCTGCGGCGTCTCAGTATACCGCAAGCAGCAACTCGCAGTATACTGCGGCGCCTCAGTATACCGCGAGCTACAGCTCGCGGTATACTGAGCCTAGGGTGACGGGAGGGCGCTAGTTTGTGTCCTCCCGTTACCCTAAGGAGAACTATGGGGAAAAGCCTTAACCCCATAGTTCTTCTTTTAACTACTGTATACCTTGTATCCAGTTTCGTTCATATTATTTCACTTCAAGCCTTGATCAAAAGCTGTGATAAACTCTTCAATCTCTATCTGGAAATGTAACTTCTGGTGGTGTGGTGCTTCAATCTTAAGTTTACTCTCAGTTGCTAATAGTGGCAGGCTCAGTGGTTAAGGGAATAGTGTGTGTGCAGGGTAGTTCATGCAAACAGGAGGGCTTTCCTGGCTTATATAGGTAATAGCTGACGTTTGTTTGATTTAAACTTTTATTTTAAAGGGGTTAAAATGGCAGACAGATGAGATTTAGGTTTGTTAAGCTAGGTTATGTGAGATAAAGTTGTGTCTGTAGCAGATCTTACTTTTGGTAGTTAATACTTTTCATAGAAACAAGTAAATGGTAAGTCTACCACTTATTGTTAATTGTCTTGCATTACAGAGGGGCTCATGCTCAGGGATACAGGTACTCTTAAAACCTAAGACTCCGAAGGGACTCCTATACACACATGCATGCACTAAACACACATTTAGACATAAAGGTTGAACTCTATGTACCTGTGTCTTTATTCAGCCTCAAATACTATGTAACTATGAAATGTGTACACTTATTGTGTGCACTTATTGTGTATTGTCTTGTATTTGCAGCTTGTGTATTTTCTGTGGGGAGCGAGATGACTCTTTCACAGAGGAAGGCTTGGACCTGCATTACTGGAAACATTGTCCAATGTTGAAACGCTGTGAGCACTGCAAGCAGGTACAACTTAGCACAATTACTATTATTATTCAGACCTGGTATCATTCCCATGGACATGGGACCATTCACAGCAGTCCCTGTCCCCAGCACAGCTTACCATCTAAGGTTCACGCCACATGCGGGGTCACATGCATACTATATTGTGTTCAAAATCAAATCCAGTGTGTGTGTATTTGAATTGTGGGAGAACTCCCAGAGGACGATACACTGGCATGTGCCATTTCAGCAGATTGCACAATTCTTAATACACCTATGTTTAGTACTGATGTTTACTGCACAGCTGATATTTTTTGGGTGGCAGCAAAAATTATATGAATTGGCAATAACTCCAAGCCCTAAAGCTTAGGTTAAAGTCCAACTCTGGGTT